TCTCCCTCTCCATCACCGCATTCCCTGTGCTCGCCCGCATCCTAGCAGAACTCAAACTCCTAACAACCCAGGTGGGCGAAACCGCCATGGCAGCCGCAGCCTTCAACGACGTCGCCGCGTGGATCTTGCTGGCCCTCGCGGTGGCTCTAGCCGGTGGAGGCCACAGAAGCCCGTTAATATCCATCTGGGTTCTCATGTCCGGCGCTGCCTTCGTCGTCTTCATGTTACTCGTCGTCCGGCCGATGATGAGCTGGGTGGCCCGCCAGTGTTCACGAGAACACGAGGTCCTAGATGAAGCCTATATATGTTTAACACTTGGAGGAGTGTTGCTTTCAGGATTCGTGACCGATCTAATAGGGATACATTCTATATTTGGGGGGTTCGTGTTTGGGCTTACAATACCCAAAGGAGGTGAATTTGCAGGGAGGGTGACGAAGAGGATTGAGGATTTTGTGTCGAGCTTGCTGCTTCCGTTGTACTTTGCGTCGAGCGGGTTGAAGACTGATGTGGGGAAGCTGAAGAGTGTGGAGGCGTGGGGGCTATTGTTGGTGATCATATCGACGGCGAGTGCAGGGAAGATTTTTGGGACCTTTCTGGTGGGGATGATGTGGATGATTCCGGCCAGGGAATCGTTGGCTCTTGGAGTGCTGATGAACACCAAAGGCTTGGTGGAGCTTATCGTTCTCAACATTGGCAGAGAAAAGAAGGTACGTACGTTAATTAATTGCCATGGGTAAACATGCAAGTACAATTGTCTCTCCAGAATTTTATTTCCCCTTTAATATTAACACGAGTTTTTGTGTTGGATATATAATATAAGACTATAACTAATTTAATTAGATTAGGTCACTATTTAACTAATTTAATTAGATTAAGGTCAGATAAGTTAGTTAATTATAAAAAAATATAATATGTTTTTCTCAAAATATCATAATCATCTTTCTTAATATCCTCCCTCCCTCTTCTACTTGATTATAGTTGAGGGAGTATCCATAGAAGTAATTTAAAAAAAATTAATAAATATGATAAATAGGTCTTATATTTAGGATCAAAATCAACTTAACAATTAGGTCCTATATTAAGGATAGGAGGAGTATTTTGTATCTTTTCTCCACCCATATTGCACAAGCTCGGATTTCTTAAATGCAGTACTTATTACAAGCCTAACTATTTCTGGTTCACATGAAAAAAATTTCTTTTAGATAAAAATTATATATATATTTTTACAAATAGATGAATTTCTAGTAAATTGATTACGATGAATAATTAGTTTTACAATTTAATTATTTAACACACTTGCAATATATTTCTAGCTCCGACAGGGAAACTACAGATTTTATGTTTTATTTTGCCACGTATTAATTCCTGGGAATATATTTTAGACTTGTGATAACTTTTTAATTCATGATATTATTCGGATGAAAAGTGTAAGTTCAGATGTAAATATAAGTTGTATATATAACACTGAACTTTTTAAAAGTGACTATATATGTGGGTGGGTTCTTATGAGGGTAGAAAAGTGACTGTTAAATGGACGAGATATTATATACTACCTTTGGTCTTAAATATAAGAATAAATTGGCTAATTTGAATATATTAAGAAAATAAGCTAAATTAATTATTTGTAATAAATTCGTGTTGTATTTCTTAAAATATCCTTGCCAATCAAGTTCATTGGTTAGAATTATTATTATTAGAAGGACTATCTTAGAAAAAGAAAATGAATATGTATAAGAGACAAAGTGAATTGGCTCTTATATTTAAAATCAAAAAAAATCAAATGGAGCCTTATATTAAAAATCAGAGGTTGTAGTTAAGTGTCTTGGATAGGCATGTAACTAATATACAAATTAATAAGATAAGGGCATAGTGAAAGATGAGATGAAAGAACAAACATGCGGGCTTTTGCTTTTGTAATGGGCATCAGAAAACTGTATTTTCAGCGCGTGCTGTCATTTTCATCCTTTCCATTAAAAATTGATTACTATCATTATGGATTCTAGATGCCATGAGTAATGCACTGATCATCCCCAAAATGCTATTAACGGGAGGTCTTTATCAACCAGCTTCTTAAATTCTCATTCTTATTCCCCCCCCCCCCCCCCAAAAAAAAATCGCTGCTGTAGGTGGAAGGAAAAGAGAATTGAATCTGCATATCTTTAATCTTTGATCCATGCTAATTTATGCTCTCTCTTTAGTTAAAACTCAAGACACCGAGTTCACACTTCTGTGTTAAGATACGCCATCACAGATTGTGGGAGGATATATAGCATTTTATGTAATAATTGGTGCCAAAAAGATGCTACGCTACAACTGATTAACAATTGACAAGGTGATTATAACAGTTTGTCCCCTGATTCTGTCAAAGCAGATACAGTCTTCGGAGATTATATTGGGATATGGTAGATCAGAATTGAAGAATTAATTAAATTAACCCAACAGTTCTCAATTAGAAATGTCCGTGATATTAATTATGAAATGATCAAGCCCATTGTCTACGATGAAGACATAATAATCCATGTTAATTATTGGTGTTATATAATACGTTACTCCTCAACTCTTTAATATATGACTCAATTGTTGAGTTAGTTTTGATCTTAAATATAAGACCTATTTATTATATTTATCAATTTTTTAAATTACCTTTCAATCATAATTAAGTAGAAGAGAGAGGGGGTATTAAGAAAGATGATTATGGTGTTTTAGGAAAAACATGCCACATTTTTTATAATTAACTAATTACCTAATCTTCCTTAATCTAATCAAATTAGTTAGATAGATCTTATGTTAAGGACTGAAGTATTTTGGAATAATGTTGTAAGACTTTGACCATTGTTTATTTGACGAGGCAGGTCCTTAACGACGAAATGTTTACCATCTTGGTGCTCATGGCTCTGTTCACAACCTTCATGACCACCCCAACCGTGATGGCCATTTATAAACCCGCACGAACTGTTGCTTCTAAGATCAGCCACGGCCAGAAAACTCGCCGGCTGCCACCTCTCTCCGACATGCAAGAGGACCTTCGTGTTCTCGCATGTATCCACGGACCAGGTAACATACCCTCCCTCATCAACTTCATCGAATCAATCCGAGCCACTACCAGGTCTCAGCTCAAACTCTACGTCATGCATCTCGTCGAACTCACCGATCGCTCTTCCTCCATCCTCATGGTTCAACGAAAGACGCAGTAGAGAACATAGGACAGGGATGGAGAGAGTGAATCAGAGAGTGCTTCAGTACGCACCATGCCCTGTTTCAGTTCTGGTCCACCGTTGTGGGTTGGGTCCACGGCCGGAGCAAGCAGCGCAGGCCGGTACCACCAGGGCTGCCAAGAGGGTCTGCATAGTTTTCACCGGTGGGCCAGATGGTCGGAAGGTTCTAGAACTGGGAAGTCGTATGGCAGAACATCCTTTAATAAAGCTCTCTGTTGTGAGTTTCGTTGGCGATAGCAGATCAAACCACAACTCACCAGCAACCAATTCCGATGCGGAAACGGAGAAGGTAATATAAATATATTTTTGTCATTATGAATCTAACAAGAAGCAGAACCTATGACTAACTTGTCGATAAAAATTGATTGCGATGAATATATCATAGGAGCTGGATGACGCGGCCATGACGGATTTCAGAACTAAGTGGAATGGGAGAGTGGAAGTCATACAAAAGAACGAAAGCAACACGACGGAAGAGGTACTAGCAATAGGGAAGGGAATGGAATACGAGCTGGTAATAGTGGGGAAGAGCCAAGAGTGTGTGGGATCGGCCATGGAGGCTAAGCTTAAAGATTCACAGATGGAGCACGCAGAGTTGGGACCCATTGGAGGTCTCTTATGTTCTGTAGGTCAGGGCATTACGTGCTCAGTGCTGGTTGTGCAGGACCAAGATCTGGCAGATTCAAACGAGACTGGCCTCAAAAAAGTCGCTAGAGAAATGAGATCCGTCATTACAACAGATGCTGTCACAGCCATCGAGTCGTCTGTCTAAATATGCAATGTCATATCTGTATAAAAATAAACTCCTACCTGGAGATTTCTATAATCTACATTATAAGTTTCACAAAACTGCATGTGTATTTTTATTTCTGGCCAATGACCGCCGTGCATCTGCTTCAATTTCAAACACGCCATCATATGCTTTTATGAAGATGCAAGTTATGCGGTTTAATGTCCGTCTATTCAAACACCCCACCAAAATCATAATAAACAAATGCCGACACTTTTATTCAACAAGATCGAAATTTAGCTCCAGTAACTAGCCCAAGCAATGTGGCAAAAAAAAAAAAAAACATAACACAGAGGGGTAATTCGGAAACAGCTCCATTCCATCTTTTCTTGGAATGATCGATCTTTCAGGAGAAAAAGGAAAAAAAAAAAGGGCCCTACCGGGTTCGAACCGGTGACCTCTTGATCTGCAGTCAAATGCTCTACCACTGAGCTAAGGACCCCTGGCTGTTAACAGTGCCAATAAAATTTATACATAAGAACTTAGATGCTGAAACCTTACCTCCAAAATTACAAAATATTCGCTAATTCTAATCACCGAAACAAAGCGACGAGCTCATGCACAGAGCTGCCAAAAAAGGAAAATGAGGACGCTTGCTGTAGCTTGTAACAAAGGATGAGCTTAAATAATGATATGTTTAGAATCCTAAGGCAGTGTCAATTATAACTACAAGGAGCATGGTGTGATTGGATAGTGACGCTCAAAAGCCCATACTTACCCCAAAACTGAGAGCGAGACCATGCATGTCTATTTAATGCCCACCGTGCCTTCACATGGAATGAGGGATGGTATTTGAGCAGCCTTCAATGATGAGGAAATCATTTTTGTCCGCAAGATCCACCTTTCCATTTTACTACCAATCCCCACCGCTAGCTACACCTGTCTTGTATATTCTCCAATTCATAACGCCTATGTTACCCTATATCGCAGATAATGAATTCCGATACCAGAACACACGCTCCCATAACCTAACTTAACTCTGCTTCTTAACTTCTCCCCTTTGTATTTTCACTCATTGATGCCCTCCTTGAAACTTCCCCGACATGCCTATATATAGATGTTGTCTTAAACAGTTATCATGACATTACTCAAAGAAAAGCTTTGAGAAGTTTGCTTGTGCTGGTGGGCAATCTGAGACAATGGTGGGTGTCGTCTCATTGATCACAGGGAGGGCAGGTCCGAGTGGGTTTGGCTCTGCTTCAACTGCAGAGAAGGTCACCCAAGGAATCGATGCCTCTAATCTCACTGCCATTATCACAGGTCTGTTTCATTGTAAATGTAATCTTCCTTTTTTCAAGCCAAAAAAAAAGAAAAAAAAAAAAGAAGCCAATAATCTAAGTGCAAGGGATGACAATGGTGTAAATGCAGGGGGAGCAAGTGGAATTGGCTTAGAGACAGCAAGAGTTTTAGCTCTTCGAAAGGTCCATGTCATCATTGCTGCGAGGAATATGGAAGCTTGCAAGAAAGCAAAGAAGCTTATTCTCGACCAAAACCAGTCTGCTCGTATCGATATACTGAAGCTCGACCTGGCTTCGGTCAAATCTGTCAGAGTATTTGTTGACAACTTCATCGCTCTTGATCTTCCTCTCAACATCTTAATGTGACTTTCATTACTCTCTCTTATTTTCTACTTGATTTCTTTCCAACTTAAGTATTGGCTTTCCTTTCAGAAACAATGCTGGAGTTATGTTCTGCCCTTTCCAATTATCGCAGGATGGGATTGAGATGCAGTTCGCAACAAATCATATCGGTAATGTCTCAGAAATTATGCTCGCCGCCAATGGCTTTCAGTCATTCTGATTCGTATTGCTGTCTTCTCCCTTTCACTTCTCAGGTCATTTCCTCTTGACCAATCTTCTTCTTGACAAGATGAAACAAACTGCAAAAGCCAGTGGAATTGAGGGAAGGATCGTGAATCTGTCATCAGTTGCCCATAACTATACTTACTTAAAGGGGATTCGATTTGACAAGATCAACAATCGAACTGGGTACGTTTCATTTTCACTCTGATAATAGAAATGAGTAATTTTGCTCATGGCAGTGGTAATTAGAACATCTTAATTACATTAACCGCCCTGTAGAATCTACTCAAATGACGAACCCAATTTTTTTCCATTGCCATTACTTTTCAGTTACTGTGACAAGAAGGCGTATGGGCAGTCCAAGCTGGCTAACATTCTGCACTCAAATGAGCTAGCTCGCCGCCTACAGGTGACGTTGTTAGTGTTTTTATCAGTTCCATCTTCCAAGCAGTTTCTGTTAAGAGATTGAACGATTTTTCGTGTATTTGACTCTTGAGTTCTTGAAATCATGTGCAGGAAGAAGGTGTGAACATTACAGCCAACTCAGTCCACCCAGGAGTCATAATGACTCCTCTCATGAGACATTCTTCCTTTCTTATGCGTAAGTTTGTGTCTCCTGTATTACAAATTAGATGGGTGGCTGCTTTTTCCATATGTGTTTATTTTCGTCTAATGCCATTGTTGTCCAATTTGAGCCAGATCTCCTGAAAGTTTTCACCTTTTACATATGGAAGAATGTCCCACAGGTAAATTCAATATGTTCATCTATGTAATTTTAAGCACTAATATCATGTGGTGACATATCTTCGTTTTGATTAACGTTGCAGGGAGCAGCCACAACATGCTATGCTGCTCTGCACCCCAGAGTGAAAGGCGTGAGTGGGGAATATTTTGAGGATTGCAATGAGCATAAACCAAGTTCATATGCCAGAAACCAAGTGCTAGCCACCAAACTCTGGGATTTCAGCAACACGGTCATCAATTCACTTTCCAGGACTTAGATTCGAGTGCTTCACTTGAATTATCAACCCTCCTTATGAATAACACACCTCATATGGTTACAATCGCAATTCCTGGTTTTCTGTATCTGTAATGTCCCTTGAATATTTTCATACTTTCCGTTATAAGTAAATCTGTTAACACAGTTCTTTGTGCCTGTATGTCTTTTAAAAGCAATCCAGTGCCACACAGGTCACTGGCAAACCAAATAAACAAATGAAGTTTCTTCTATTTTTAATCTTAAACTGAATTCTCCACAATTCGCGGGGGACGACGCGCGAGCTTCAGTGTTGCTTGCAATTGCATTAACTGGTGGAGGAAAATCATTCCTTGGCTACCTTAAGAGTTAGGAACAGAAAGCTGCCAAATGATAAACACAAGGAAGTAATCACAATTAGAAGCATTTCCTGCAAAGAGACGTGTGGGCTCAGAAAGAACACCATAGCAATTGAAGCGCTCTGCCATATCTTCAACTGTGCAAATGCTCCTTCCTGCTCCAACAATGCCAACATATACTTCGAGGTTAATATGCATGTTTCAAATGACTATATGTAAAAGCAATACCGCTTTGCAGAATATAAGAGGCCACAAATGATCAAACATAAAATATCACAATCTGTCATTTGGAGAGAAAACATGCGTATCTATGTTGTAAGCTTTACCGTGTCATGCTTAAAAAGCATTCCGAGCAAGGCATTTAGTTGTGTGTTTAAAACTCCATCACCAATCCCCAACAAGGAGGCCATAAAAAGTAGGTATAGAGTATTGAGTCTTCCACTAGCTATGCTGCGTCATGAATAGCAATGAGCAGAATTGGCATCATATAGTTACAGACTTAAAGCTGTAAATAACAGAGCTTATTATGAACCTTATATCTAGTAGAAGCAGGATGAATGTAATTGCCTGGACAAAACCTCCAACGCAAACTATTGATGTGATTGATGGGAGACCAGAAGTAAGTCGGCCAGCAGTCAAAGAACTCTGACATAGTTTACAAAAATAAACACATCTAGTTAAGAACACATATTAATATGTCAAGTACGACCATTATGTTATTCATCTCCTTCTCCAAAGAAATGCATGCATTTGTTTGTACCCACCCGATTAACTAGCATTAGGCTGCCTCTACGGAGAAAACAACAAATTCCTACATTTTCATACTTACTATTCCGTCAAAAGCCCCATACACTGCCATTGCAATACCCACACCAGAAACACCAAGTGCTGGGGTCACAATATGCTTTGTAAATTCAGCCCTGAGACACCAACCATATTTACTTTAATAAAGAAGATATAATGAGGTAAAACAAGATCAGAAGATAGAGAACCATGAACATGAGAATAAATTCCTTGTATGCATCAGAAATTACCACACAAATGCTTGTTGTAGTCCGGAATAAGTGATTAGGGGCACAACCAACAACATCCTTACATCAGACAACGCACTAGCAAGTGATTCAAACAGAGACTTTAAGGATGAATAAGCACTAACACCAGTATCTGATGGCTCATCATCTCCCATATTATTGCCACTCCTTTGACTCATGAAACACATTAATATTGCACCTAAGGATATCACACAAAGAAACACAGTGAACAATGAAGTTGTGTTGCTGGTAGTTCCATCCTACAATGGCAAGGAACAAAATCGGTGAGTTATGTGAAATATTTAGATCCTCAGTTGTGTTTGTGTTTGAAGCAGAGTGTTTATTTATTCTTTAAGGGTAAAAGCGGAGAGCCAGCTCACTTTTACGTGTTCTTTAAATCTCTTACGTGATATACTATTGACATCTTTTTAAGGAGCATGAATGATATATGTAAAATTCAAATAAACAAGAAGGCAAACTTTACAGAAGCACCAAGACCATAAGTGAGATGAACATACTAACATTCTAACAATTATGAACCCATTGAAGAAAAGAGGCAGAAGGATGTTTAGGACAAAAACTATCCCAAGAAACGACATACTTGTCCATTTTTCAGGAGAGCAAATGTGAGAAGATTCCCAACAAACTGCAAAACAATATTTTATATGTTAAAACTCATCTGCAAGAGGAGTTACTTCTTTATCTGTTTTCCCCTGGGAAAAAAAAAGGCAAATGTATTAGACTAGACGTTGGATCATAACCTGGTTTAGAGCATAGATTGCCCAAAATATCCCATTGAAGTGACCGATTACGGCTGCTTCAGGCAAATTCCAATATCTAGCATGATCGCGGGCAGTAGAAGTGAGATATGTCCCCTGAAAGGTCAAACAAATATCAACGAAAGCAAACGTGACTCCTTGAAGAATAAGGAACTTACAACCTTGACATGCGACACCTGTCCAACCCATATTATTGAAGCACTAAACCCAAGATACAAAGAGGCTGGGACCATCGTATGCCTGGAGGAAGAAGTAAGAACAACTCAATAGTAATCATAATAACTTGAACATTATTTCTGCATGCATAGCCATGAAGCGTCGTAAAGGCTATGCTTAAAATCTATAATTGCAATATAATATGAATTATAATTCAAACAACCACTGATGTATCTATTCTTCTGCCGGCATTGATAAAATAAAATTGAGTAACAAAACGAATATAAAATTGGTTAATTGATTCAGAAGGCAGTAAAAGAATGTTTATTTGAGGGTATGTAACAGTGTAGTGCACACTTTGTCTCTCAATAAAATAATAACTACGACTTCTTCTTTCACGCCGCTTCTTTCAACTTTTGTCCTGCACAAATACATTTTTGGCCAAATGCTTTTGTTAGCTTAAAGTTGAAGTTACTTTTACCCCATTTTTACTTGTACTAATGAATTTTCACAAAGGACTTATTGATCACCATATTTTTTAGGTGACTGCCAAAAATACGTGATTTTATCCTGAAAATATATGTGATTCCCATGTATTATATAGTCTGAGACGTGTTAAAATGAATTATACTGTCGACGTCTTATAAGGAGTGTTGCACTGCTAATATTATTATTATTTCATTTACCGTCCAAAGTAATGCGTCTGTGACAAGGAGCACGAATTTGAGTTTGGCAACCCATTAACGAGATATTACCAGTTCGGCTTTAAATTTGCGGCTACGAAAACCCAATAACCAGTTGTCCCAAGAACCAAGGCATTGTTTGACCCAAATACTCGTACTATCAAGGAAGAAACCAGGGAGAATAATGTGAACGATGAATACAATATCCCAAGTGAAATTGTGCCCAAATTTCGCTCCTGACGTGAAATCAATCCAACAGAGCCGTGAGAAACCTCCAAATCAGAATCAAATTTGGGTTACAAAATACCAAATTTCAACTGAAAAATGTCACCGGATGAGAATGACTTTCCAAATGGTGGATGAGCATGACAATTCACAGAGACTCACAGTGTTTAAAGTACTCTGCAAATTCTGAGCAGCCCCATAGGCAAGAAAGATCAGTAAAAATGAGAGGCTCAAAATATAAACATCTCTGGTGCAATCCTTGGGCTTTTGAGGATGTGGCAGAGCATTTGAAACAAGCGGTGCCTTTTCCTCGTGGGACCCTACTGGAGATGCCATAGCTTTACAGTCTGCGATCCAGATTATGGCCGGAGAAGAGTAGGAGATTGAAATGGAAAGATGTCCGATCACAACCCGACAAGACGTTTGGCGCTGATTGAAAAGTTAATAGCCCAAGAAATTGGAGATTTTGTTTCTTCTCAAAGAATGATGATAATTTACCCTTCATTAGTCTTGCGTTTTTAAGTTTTTTTGGGTAATTTTCCGAAGATTTATTTGCGCGTTTCCGCTTCAAGACTCGGGGAGGTTTGACCTTGTAAATTTGCCACCTGGATAGATCTGGTTGTTCCCAAAGAAATAATGTCCCAACTGCATTTTTCCGAATGGAACTCTGGGGAGGATATTATCATGGAAAAACGATGGTATTAAATCATAGCCCTGCAGAAATAGTTTATTTTTCTGGAGTTTTTTTTTTTTTGGACTAGGTTCTAAGCAGGCCCTGTAAGTCTGAATTAAATATTTCTCCTTATTTTTTTTTCAGCGTAGGGGAATACACCCTCTTTCTCTCCAATTTTTCTTCTTTACCAGTAACCATAGCCCAGAATGGCTTTGTGAAATGTACACGAAATAATAAAATATTAATATTTAATTTCGTATTTGCGGGGAAATAATTCACTTAAATAATCCAGCTTATTGATTTTTAGTTTATTTACACGTGTAGCTTCCGTGACACCTCAAGAAAAACGGCTAAGGTGGCTGTCGTTGGAGCGCAGTATAGCCACGTTGCGTGATATTACAGGGTGGTTACCTGGGTCCCATCACGTTTATCCATTTGTTTTCTCGTCCCTTCCAAAAGATCGTGACGACATTTTTATATTTTGCTTTATTCCAGAATTTTATTGAAACTCATCGCTTCTCAGCCTTCCAAAAGTTAAATCTCGCCCGGGAACCAAGCTTTTCGTCTGAAGTTTTGTTGCCGCCCTGAGCGTTACAAACCAAACCCTAACCCTACTACATCCTTTATCATTCAGATCTAATCGGATAAAAGACTTCAGTACTCTTGACGAATCTCAGATCTGTAAATATAAATTTGGATTTATAGCGGTTGGAGTTGGTGTTAAGATATCCAAGATTTTCATGATTATTTTGGCTTGAAGGTCTTTTTGGTTTTGAATTTTATGAATTCGATTGGTCCATGGCTAGAGGTAGGTTAATTCTCAGTCCTTCCCTGCTTCATAATTTTACGAAGGTCTTTCCCTTCCTAATCTTTGCCAAATTGAATTAAAACGGTTAAGCGCTTGTTGATTACGAAAAAGCCCATTCCAGAACATGTTTCGTTCCCTTACCTTGTAATCTGTCGTTGTTGTTTTCATATCGATCTCAGTGTCTCTAGCGGGTTGTGTCCATCAAACTTAATTTCTGATGTTTTTTATTTATGCTCAGGCAATCGCTTGATTTCATGCTCAAGGAAACTCAGACAAATTTGAGTCTGCCACAATTGAATTAGAACTTGTTCTGGATTTCCTACTTGAATGCTGTGCATCAGTATCACTTTTCTGGTAGCTACCGCGTTGGAGTTCCTAGAGGGTTTTACTCTTTGATGGGAGACGGTGCAGTTTGCGTCGAATTACCTGCAGATAGAACAGATGAAAACAATGAGATATCGAGAACGGACCTGAAGCGGGACTACCAATGTCTTACTGATACTGAACTTGACCCCTCCCCAAATAAGAAGCAAGCAAAAGAAGTCTCAAACGATGACGTGCGCTCTGAGGTTTCTAATCCCAATATTTCTTCGAAAGAGAATGTATTAGCATTTCAAGATATTAGTAGCCAGCCGAGCGAGTTGGGAAATGCTAATCAAGCAGAGTGTGGAGAAGTAACGTCTACTTGTGTGGAGAATTCAAGTTCGGATGAAACCTTGAGTGATGGAGGGGGTGATCATAATACTATTTCTCAGAACGATAAGGGTGTCAGGAGTGCTGAAATGACGTCCCGTGTTGTACTGGAAATTCCCAAGCATGCCAGTACATCTGGAATCAGAAAGATTACTTTTAAGTTCAGTAAAAAGAAGGAGGACTATGATTATCGGTCACTTGCTAGTACTAATAGGAATCCTTACGACGAAGAGCCAAGTTCTGATTGCAAGTCGGGGATGCTAGAAAGATCGTGTGGGATGGAATATGTTCAAGCTGGTGATTTTAACTTGTACGCCCGAAATATGGAGCTGAAAATGTCAAAGAAAGTAGTTCCTAGCTGTTATCCTACTAATGTCAAAAAGCTGCTAGCAACTGGTATTCTTGATGGAGCTCGAGTGAAGTACATTTATACTCATAGCACGGGAAAGGTAGAGCATGCATTTATATTTTCTTATATACTCGTCCTGGATTTAGACTTCTCTAGAAAACAACAAGAAGAAGAAAAAAAGTTCTCGTGTAAGGTAGGTTTCTCACATCCTGAAGTTGTTGTCAGATTGAGCTGCCTGGGATTATTCAGGGTGGTGGCTATATGTGTGGCTGCTCGTTGTGCAGCTTCTCCAAAGTAAGCTACTATCATCAGTTCACGTTATCATTGAAGTTTTTGTCCTATATATACAGATAAATGATTTAATGATATGCACAGGTTCTAAGCGCGTACGAGTTTGAGCAGCATGCTGGTGCCAAGACTAGGCATCCAAATAATCACATATTCCTGGAAAACGGAAAACCAATTTATAGTATTATACAGGAGATAAAAACTGCTCCACTCAGCTTATTAGACGAGGTTATAAAGAACGTTGCTGGTTCATCTGTCAATGAAGAGTCCTTCCAGGTTTGGAAAGGTAATAAAATTTTTGTTAAAAAATACGTGATTGAATATTTATGCTGGGCAAATGTACTATTTTTTGTATTAATATATGGTTGAGTGGTCAATAATTTGGTCCAAAACGCTATATACTCTGGATATTCTCGTTGCCAGGTATCTAAATTTCAAATCAACCAGTTTGGCTTAATTACTGCTGCCATTCATACCTGTCTATGTCGAATATGTGTAAAATTTTATCATTGTGTTATTCTCTATCCAAACCAGCTCTGGTTTTCCTGTCGTAGTTTTAGAATCTTCTAATTTAGTTCTGTCACCCTTCCATCCCTCTTTCATATGTATGCCTAATATCTCGTTTCCCTCCCTCTTCCATATGTTGGTCACTATGCCGTTTACCATGGTAACATGGTAGTTATGGGGCTTGTTGATATTGACTGCCATAAGACATCATTATCAACACTGGCTGAAAGGTCTTTTACTTGACGGAACATGTTAAAGATTCCAAACTTTTGGTTATATGGAGTTAAAACCTAACATGGTCTGTTCCTTGAGGAGAATGTTGGCATTACAAATATAAAGCATCCAGGAATAGCTAGAGATTTGGTATATACTGCAACATTCATGGAAAGAAACCTTAGGCATTGGCATGGAGATGTTTTGTGGCAATAGTAGAAGTTATTATCCATTGTCGTTAATTAGACTTAGATTTTTCTTACCCTTGCTTTTCATGGATTCTGCAGCAAGTCTTTTGCAAAGCAATGGGCAGGTTGAGGCAGAAAGGAATTTTAACTCCAAGCTTGTTGGCATGCCTCATACAAACATAAGGTAAAAGATGAATAAACGAAAGAAAATTTTAGTATAATCCAATATATATATATGTATATGCTAGATTTTTTTTTCTTTTGGATGAATGTATAACCTTTCTTGCTGTTTGTCTTATCCCCTTTTATCATAGAGGATGATTACTTCATCTTGTTTGCCTCTTTCTTTTGTGGTTGGCTTATTTTCAATCAAGAAATTATATGGTAAACAAGGCAGATCTTGTTTTATATTTTTGTTCTCACAAAAAGTGTTTTGCTTCATGCTAAAATTTTAATCAGAAAGGGCATTCCATGTTCATTAAAGCCTCTTTGGCAAAAATAACAGCTCACGAATTCATCTATGCTAGGGTCGTTGCTTGACTTCAGTTCATTAGGCTTGTGAATGAATACAGTTGCTTGTGTTTTTAAAACAAGACCTATTAGCAGCCATTTCCATAATAAAATAATTAGTTATCTAGTTGTGACGTCAGTGCATTCAGGTTTGGGACTTGGCATATTGCATTAGTTAAAACAGAATCTACATTCGTACATATATGAGATTGTTGATTTTTAACTCAATTTTGTTGTGAGTTTTTGTTTGGTGGTATCATCCAGATTTTAGTGACTAGATTTTTGTTCTTTCTGTATTGAAGCTATGGATTATGTTACATTTGGCTGACAATTGCTTGCCTTTATTAAAATATGCTGCTTCAGTGAATTTGTAGATGGTATGAGCTACATGTCCTGTTCAGATGTGCTGAGCCCTGTTGAGCAGCAAAGTTATGTGAAGCAGGCAACTGACGAGAGGAAACATGTGGTGAAAAAGTTTGTTCTGCCTCCCTCTGTCTCTCTCTCTTAGTTGCGAGTGTGCATTTCTTTGTGTGCACATGCACATGCTCTGTGCGCTTATGTTAGCGTGTGTAATCAGTCAAACCTTATAGCTGGTTGTTCAACATCTGCTTTAGTGGTTTATAAGTTTTTAATGGCAACTAGATAGTGAAATGTGGATGACCATAGCAAATATATTTTGCAGATCAAGCTCCCATGCTTCTAACTCAGGTCTACAGCAAAAGAAAACTGCGGATGGTTGCAATAAGAGAAGGTTCTTTTTGGGCTTTTAGTTTCTTCTTCTTCTTCTTCTTCTTCCTCCCTTTTTTTTTTAAAGGTGATAGCTTGCTATGAATCCCCTGTGAATTGTAATACAAATTTGTTCCTTTTTCAGGGATAATGATTTGCATAGGCTACTTTTTATGCCAAATGGACTACCAGACGGTGCTGAATTGGCATACTATGTCAAAGGACAGGTGTTTTAATATTGTGTTCTTGATAGCTCTCTATTATCGATCTTTATTGTTTTCAATGTTTAACCTGTTTAATATGCGCTTCAGAAACTACTTGGAGGTTACAAACAGGGAAATGGTATAGTTTGTGGTTGTTGCGATAGAGAGGTATGATAAT